AACGAAGGCGCACAACCATATAAACGAGGAGGCTTCTAACAGTCCAAAAATAAAAGCAAACTTCACTTCAGGTATATTCTACTACACCTAACTTTCCGCAGATGAATTAGCGTAAGCCTTGAAAGTAACAGTCGATTTCGAGGGGTTTACTTAGTTCTCTCATAATATTCGTAGCCTACTGTTAAATATCTTATTACGTACAGTATTATTCAGGTGCGTGATTAATTCTTGGTTTCATTTTTAACATATTTAAATATTTAGTACCAACAAACCAATTTAACTATTAAGTTTATTTTTATAAATGTACCATTAGTTTTATCTTGCAAAATAAACATTTTTATGGTTGTTAAGTCAGTGGTTATAAATGGGATTGTAAACACAACTAAATCAACCTACGGTTACGGCAGTGTACTCGTATTAGCACTATGTTAGTGTGCCGCTTCTAATGATAATGGCCAAACAATTCATTCAGCATGAAGGATTGAATATACGAAATCTGAATGAGCTACAGAGGGGTGGGATATAAATCTTCAGAATTTGTTAAATACTATCCGTGTCGTAATTTGCAATTAAAAAGCATCCATGTGTTGCCACTAGCTACTAGAGAAGAATGCACGACAAACGCTTACGTCAAGCGAAACCTAAAAACCAAATCCAAGATGAAGTGTTTAGGGGTCTTATTGTATAATTTTTAGGGTGATATTGCTCAGTTACTACCGTTGCAAGATCAAGCTTTATTCAAGCAATCTGATATTTGAAATCAGGGTTTTTATCATATAGAAAACTCATTGACGTTTACGAACATATTAAAAATGTTTTTAACTAAAAACTATCATGCGTCAATCCGCCAAAGTGAAAGTCGTTTTCGTAATGCTCTTACTAATTCATGGGACGACGAGATTATACTGAAGATTATTTTCTTGACAATCCATAAAAAAATACCGACAAAATCAATGAATTTTGCAACGCTGTTCGTATCATGGCAAGAATACAAGAAATCGTGCTGAATTAGCTACTTATGACTAGCGAATTGGCTAACCTGAAACTCTTGTGTCATTAATTTATACCACAAACAAACCTTCAATGGCCGCAATAGTTAGTTTCGATGAATGCTAATCTCTTAAATTTTTTTTAGAATAGCCAAAATATGTAGAGTTATGTTCACAGCTTATCGACCGATGCAGGATTACTTTATGGTGTTTTGGGACTGTCCACGATATTTTATACGAACTTGAGGAAGTCTTATCACATTCGGAAATGTAACCTTTACGTTTGTTAGTTGCGTTTAGTATTTATAGAGGTAATCTCATTTTACTAAAATAAGGTTATTACCTCGTCTGCAGTTCCAAAATTGTTGTTTGTACTTATTAGTTAAATGTTTCGGCAGAACGCCATTGTCAAACTATCTTAGTACATGAACATCAAAATCCACTTATTGTAGCTTCGTAAGGTAGACATTTAGTTCACATACTCGACGACACATAAACGAAGACACATACGGACGGATAAAATACATTTAAGTAGGCCTACTGATTTGTACGACATTGCCGCGATCACGAGCGGGAACAGATGAGTAAGAGTTGTAACTACTTGGTATGGTAGCTGTATTTTTGTAAAATTTAAGCCGAGTTAGTTCAGTAGTTTTTACGGTAAATAGTTATACACATACAGTCACCATTAAATTTTTATATAACACTATAGATTAATACTGTTAGCAAACTGCCTAACACTTTTTGGCATTATGACAAAGGGTTATTCTGTGATTACAATTTTTAGAGTACACCAGGGTCGCAGAAGTAATACGGCGGTGTTAAAGCCAACTGTTCCAATGTTACCACAGAACACGAAGGCTCGAGTATAACAATTAGCAAGAATTAATTCCACTGGTGGCCTCCAGTTGAATACGTTAGGACGAAACAATTTGTAAGGTGTAAATTGCACTTGATACTTTTTAGTTTTAATACTCGCCAACAATCATTGATTAAAATATGATGACTAGGGGGATGAATATTATTTTATTCAATAATTTGAACATACATATAATAATGACACATACATTTTTGTAATACTATATACATATATTCTAGTACTAATAAGATGAGATGTGTTTATTAACAGCGTTTATACAGGGTGATTGATATAAGTGTGCCAGCCGTTTTATTCAAAAACTATAAGAGATATCAAAAAACGTTAATTGGTAAGTGCCATGGATTTTTTTATAAAAAAAATGTAGTCAAGTCAAAAAAATTATTTTAGCCACCATTTTTCCAATATGGCCGCCAACTTTGATTTTTCTTATGGAACACCCTGTATTTTATGATGTATTCTGGTGGAAAATGTAATTTTAAGACGATTTTATTCGTGTGATTTTTTTCATAAACCTAACCGTCTCAAAGATAATAATGGTTTAAGTTGTGAAATTTTGAATGGATTTCTAATATAACAGCTGGCATGCTTGCTTAGGCCTTTATCGAAATTCTTTCTCATGCAGAAATTTCAAAACTTTAACCATTATTATCTATGAAACTGTTAGGTTATTGAAAAAAATCGCAAGAATAAAATCGTCTTGAAAACACATTTTCTACCAGAATACATCATAAAATACAGGGTGTTCCATAATAAAAATCAAAGTTGGCGGCCATATTGGAAAAATGGCGGCTAAAATATTTTTTTGACTTGACTACAATTTTTTTAATAAAAAATCCAAGGCACTTACCATTTAACTTTTTTTTATATCTCTTATGGTTTTCGAATAAAACGGCTGGCACACTTATATCAATCACCCTGTATATGTGAGCACGAGAATACAATATTTTCATATGATTACTTTATTCATTGACAAATGGAATAAAATTGCCATTAGAGTTTACCTTTACTTGTGAATCCGTATATAAAATTGTGTCATTGCTACACCAGGTCTTTTCCCACTCTTTGTTCTAGTCAGCTGTAACAAAGTAGAATTGATTTAGAACCTGTGACATTTAGCTGCTAAAATTGGGAAGAATCGTCGTTGATTGAAATAAACACCTAAATATAAAAAATAAAATAGCTTACTTTTCCTACCACTTTAAAGGTAGATAGGAATTTGTAAGTTTTATATTTTTTTCTACATTTGTATTATCCCTAAACAAAGTTATCTTGAAAGCACTCTTGTTGTTCTTTTTCCTTTAATTGCTTTGAAAGGAAACCAATCTCAGGTTGATCACTGACAATAAGCCTATGTAAGGAACAAGACCGCTTATCAAGACAATGTACATTTCCGATGCTCAAACATAATCATGAATTAAGTTTTTTGCCTCTGGGGACCTCAAAACGTAAGTAGATACGCCCTGGGCCCAGGTCTTACTTTGAGGCCTACGGTAATAGCTTATTCCCTATATGGTAAATTAGCTGAATAGGAAATTTATTGGTATTATTGAAACTTTAATTTCAGGAAATATGGCATGTACAATGCATTACGATCATACTCAATACTCATGGCTTTATGAAGAAAAATTGATTCACGGGACTTACATTTTTAAATTTCCCATTAAATGTAATACTGACCATTCAGATTCAATCATATATTTTACACAACAGTTGTAATCCTTTAAATCCCTTAACTATGATTTCAAATAAAGTAGCCATTTGCACAATAAACAAAGCCAAGTCAGTATTGGAAAAGAATTAAGCCCGAGTAGATATTTCAATATTCTGCAACGGGGATTAAATTGAACGAAACCACTTTCCGACACAACTCATTTCTTGCACCTCTCTTAACTCTGACTCTAGCTTTACTTTATAGAAAGCCATTATTTGATCTTGATTACCTAAGTCATGTAGTTCCAACGAATATGGCATAATTAATTATTACTTCGATATGTATTGATCTTTTTCCCTGTCAGTAACCAACATGTATTTTTACTTACGTGAATAACTTTCAATATGGATATGCCTTATGCTTTTTATAACTTATATTTTCATTAGTATGGCATCATCCAATAGTTCATATTAAGATAGTTGACGACTTTCATTACATAATAACTTTTTTCTGGCACCAAATACATACTAAAATGTTTTTAAAAGGATCAAACTTAAACTACGTTAGTATTTAAACCTTTTGCAAAACTTTATATCAGAAAAACCCTCTGCTCATGAATGAAGTTCTAATATTTTTGATATAAGGTTTCGTTTTACTAACTAATATAAACTAGCATACAAGAAATATTTTAATTAATTTAAGCCTAGAATTTTCATTTTACAGTGTTATGAAATTAAATATAAATCAATAGGATCACGGACAACTCTATACGTTCAGTTCAAGGGTGAGTAAATATGGAAATTGTTTGTTTACCATACTAAGTGGTACGTGTTTCGGTGGGATAAAGCTTAATGTCTATTTACCTGGTTGTTGAACATGCAAAAAGTCATTAAGAACATTACAGCATATAAGCTATTTTTACTTTCTCCGTATACATAGTATATAGAGAAGGTATTATTTTTGTAAAGATTTTCGAGTTTGGGTATTGAGTGGATATATCTGTTTTGGGTCCCCATGGACACAAAATAGTCGTTTTTTAAGTAATGTCTGTGTCTGTGTATGTGTGGATGTGTACTAGACTACACCTGTGGTCCAATTTTGATAAAATTTGGAATTTAGGTACTAATCCATGGTATATCTAGGCGCTATTTTTTATTTTTGTTGATGGTTTTATTTTTAATGGCGATTTTTCATAAAAACCCATAGCGGAAGAATTGAATTTTATCGAAAATGACCCAAACAATACTCGTGAGAATTTAGTATGCTGTAGCCCTTCCAATTCTAAACAAAATGATATAACTCTAAAAGAAGTTCAAGAGTTAATGTAGCTTTTCTCTTTTTACCAATAAAATATCATATTTAGTTACTCTTATCACTTGAGATTGATGACAAGATAATGGAAGAAAGTATGTGTCAGATTTCTGATACAATTTATATTATACATTATGTTCAAAGTTACTTATTAGTGTATACATTTTAGGATGTGTGCACGTGTACGATTCATGGCAACAGTTCATTCGCTTGTCAGCTTAGGCCTTTGCCTAACTTCGAAATCAGGTAAAAGATGTTCGCTTTACTTTTAACCACATTTTTGTACTTTTTGTCTATTTATATACATAACTTATTGCATTATGATTTAAACAAATAAAGATTTATGTTAATACATATTTAACGATATATACTAAAAAAGGCTATAACTAACGACAACACTATTTAGTTGTGTATTTACAAATATTTACTTTAAAAGAAACTGACTACAACTTTATATAATCAACTCAATTTTTTATAATCAACTGCCAACAACTTTGCTTGATACAGCATTAATTTATTTTTAAATTTAAAACGGAAATACTTTTTTTATTTCACCATCCCATAAACACCATTAATATTGAACTGAAGGATTTTAGTATTTATATAAACCCTAAAATAGTTCAGTATTTATTTTTTATATTTTTTGCCTCTTTGTTGTTCACATAGTTTTAAAAGAAAACACATTATGTATTGCTTTTATGTATTATATTTGTAAAATGGTTTGCTTTGGATATGTAATAACTATAGTTATCCAACACCAAGAGGGTATTTCGGTGGTATAAGCTATATTGATATTATAATAAAACTCATTTCATTAGCACACCACAAAAAATGGCAAGGTTTTGGAGCGCTTTTCCTTAAAAGCGTTTGAATTTACTTCATTATAAAAATGCCACTGACGTAGACACGAGCATAAAAGAGAGAAAACTCTTAACGTTCTTGACAAGTTACTAAATGTTTATAAAACGTTATTTAATCTAGAAACCTAAAAAGTCCAGTAAAGGTCATTGCACTACTGAGAGGCAACTTAGTCTCCTAAGAAATACAAATAAGGAAACTTTAGCTTTATAATAATAAGTTGAACTGTATTAATTTTCTTTGATGTATCGATTGCATTACCTTTTGCATTATTCCTACATTATATTTAAGTTATTTGATTTATTTTTACAGGAGGAGGTCCGAAATCGTTTCCCAAGGAGGAACCGTTCAACTTAACTTCTCTATTCACCGACAATGAGGACAGGTCCTTGCAAGACCTTTCTGGTTTCTGGAGCTACAATGATTCCTCGGACATTTCCAAGTATGAGGACTTCGATCACTCCAAGCTTCTTGGTAGGAGATCCACGTTTATTTGACCTTATTTATCCATAATAAAACCTATACTTGACCTATTTTTTTGCCACAAGAATGACATTATGATGATCGTTTGGATCCTTATAACAGCAAAACTATTCATCATCTATGAAAATTGCCATGTTAATTGTATATGAAACAGACCTTTCTTTTTCTCTTTTTTCTCTATTTGTACAACTCTAGCCCATATTTAGTATAAGGAGCAGTTTTATAGGTTATGATAATAACCCAAAAGTTTGCTGAAGAAATCCACCTTTGAAAATTGGAAAATACTCACCAATCTTCCGTTTTCTTTTCAATGATTTATCTTTAATAGCTGTTATACTCTTCTTGGTATCAGTTTGTGTGAGAAAAATTCAAGCAACGCTTGGTTTTTAGAAAGGAAAATGTGTTTTTATACATCTATAGATCATGACCTTGTTTTCCTTGAATCTGCCACTACATTCTGTCACTGTTGCAGTTCCAAGTTATTATTACATTATATGGGGTTCACATAACTTGAAACATGTTTGTTTTATCTTGACTCCAGGTAAACTTTGTATTTTAATTGTATACAAGGAGTTAAGTTACTATTATTCTGTCAAAGTAATCCTAAAGTCATTTGTAGGACGACCGGTTTCGACGTCTATGGCGTCATTGCCAAACCGGAAGTAAAACCAATCCTGGGAGACGAAAAAGTCTTTAAAAAACACCTAACATATACACGAGCAAAATACTTCAAAATGCATGACCATTGGCCATACAACTCATTAAAACACGGCGGCGGGTACAGCGAGCAGGTCTCGATTGTGTTTAACAATCATTCACAAAAGTATCCATTAAAGTATGCTAACCAACAAGGAATAAAGAATATAGCATAATAAGTTATGTCAATGATTTATATTTATAAAATCAATAAGTTAAGTTATAATTGTATACTTGGAATACAATACCATTAATTAAAAATAAAATGCATATTAGAATTTAAAGATTAACATTATTCTAGAAATCCATATTCTCTCGCTTAAAACCTTGACAAAATTTACGAAAATATTAGTGAAAAATGTTCTGTTACGTGGAATACAAAATACACACTACGCCGTCTAGTTGTGTAAAAAGTCAAATAACACGGTGACAATGCCAACGGCAACGTTTAAGTATGCTCTCTGCTGTGAAGAGCGTCCTCCAACATCCAACCACTGTAATGCCTTCCAGCTATGTTTTAATCAGCATTGTTTGTCCAAAGGGCTTCAGCATTGTTGAAAAGATAAAAACTCTGCCAATATCATATTCGTGGTCAAATCCGTTGTACACTTTTACCTACACAAAAAATGGGGAAAATCTTTAATATTGCATATTTGGGTCAATTCACTTTTGGGCCAGCCAAGTTTTATAATTAAGAGAATGTTGTAAATTACAGTGTATTATTGATGTATTAATATCTATCATGATCAATTGCTCTTATATTCTTACTGCTTGAACTTGATTTAAATTGACGTCGTGAAGAGGGCTGGCTAGTGTTATAGCCTCCAGAGCCTGAGGTCCTGGGTTCAAATCCCGCCAATCCGAGGTGGATTTTATCATTGCGATATCGCAACTGCCCTCTAGGACTAGCCTGAAATAATATGTAAGATGGTTCCCGGTTGAAACCTAGGATCTGAGGGTGTAACATGGACAAATTCAAACCGATGAGAGAAAAGAATTCTGTTACCAAATACTAGCAAACCAGTATGGCAAATACTATGTCTTTACATTATTAGTTCTACAAAATATACTTTTTTTAACGTTGTTTTTGTATGCCTAAGTAAATGAAGTAAGACAGATTATGAAAAATAATACATTTTTTAGCTTAAAAAATACATGGATGTATGCCTTATAACACTTTTAATAATATATTTATACAATTACACTGTTTACTCAAGTAATTTTATAGCATGTACGATGCAGATAAAGAAGTAATTATATTGAACTAGTGTATGACAATGAGGATTTACCTTATTCGTCATCTTAATGAGTAGTCAAGCCATCAGCTCTAAACAAATAAATGGCCCAAATGTATACTTGATTTTACAAATTAATATCGCCCTTCTATTTTAATGTGTTTAGATGCCATATCAAATGAAGGGTCGTATATTCAGAGTTTACCAGATTTCCTACGAACTCTAAGTGTTTGAAACATCCTGTCAAATCAAGTATCAAAACTAACTAATTCTTACTCTTGTAACGTTTAGACAATCCCAAGTTGAAGCTGGCCATAGAGCTTCCTGAGGATTATGAGAGATTGGAGTTCCAGAGTTCTCCAGCTCCCTACGAAGTCCCAGTGTTTGACACGTCCCTGACAACTAATATCTCAGTACAATTAGGAGGAACAGCAACCTTCTACTGCAGAGTCAGAAACACACGAGAAGACAGGGTGAGGCTTGATCTATCTTTAAGAACTACAAATCATAATTTACTTAATGATCCTTTACTTAAGATAAAAAACATGCTGTATTTTACTTTAACTAACGGACATTCAAAAGTCACAATGGCTGTTGAGCTATTATAACTAGAGGTGCAGTAAATATGCTGTAAGACAAGTTTTAAAAAACCTGCCATCGAATCAACTACAAGCTGCAGTTTTACCACAGACTTTGTTCAAATAAACCATCTTTGATCTAAGACTTACCATAGATGTATGATAACAAATCCATAACTACAAAGCTCATAGTACAAATCAAAGTCAAACCCATTGATGTTTCACTATTCATAATATAATCATCAGTGAAATGTTGTGGTGTCCAACAATATTACTTTTTTAAATCATAAATATTAATGTTATTCCCTTGGGATACAGGTGTCATGGGTTCGAAGAAGAGACTGGCACATCCTCAGTTCAGGGACGATGACCTACACCAATGATGAGAGGTTCCAAGTCGTACATGTGGACAGTACAGACGACTGGGACCTACAGATCAAATATGTGCAGAGGAGAGATAATGGCACATACGAATGCCAGGTAAAGATAACATTAAACGTACTTAAATTGGGTTAGATTACATGGTATGGAACTTAAAGTAGTTTGCACTAACCAAAAGTTTGTTGTCAATAGCGTTGACTTCCCTAATTAGGCCACACCAAGTTAAACACATTATAGTCACTTAGCGAAAACTGCTTGAGAATATCAAGCATAGAATGCAGTAATTTTCTGTTAGGGTGAATAATAATTTCTAATATATCAAAGGACGTAATTTTAAATATAGCCATAGTTTTATGGTGCCAAAGTTTTATTAAACTTAAGCTTTTAACGTATTACGTATTTTAATAAAGTAAAGAATCTCTTTAGAAAGGAACTATATGCCATGTAATTTCACTACCTGTTGGTTTTAAGGGTTTCATAAAGATTTTAGGCTATGCGTTCTGAGGAGTAAACATTAACAAAACCACTATTATCAATCCAAATTAAAAACATATTTTACTTACACTTTAATTTGCATTAGAAAATTATTATTTTAAACACTATTTAGTATCCTTACTTGTACAAGGAATTTGATTCAGGAACGTCATTTAAACATTTAGTATATATGATAACTCACATAATATGTTATACTAGCAAGTGACAACAACTTCTAAAACATTAAAAGTATTTAATCAACTCAATCTTCGACCATGTTGAAAATGTAATCGTCAACTCAATGACCTGGAAAACATTTTAAATAATAAACAATCATCCGTGATCAATGAATATTTACAGTAAACGCATGTTGATTTAATAATTTAAAACACCTATTAAATGCTAGTAAACGAAGAACTGAAAATCATTATCTAATACATAGTTTAACTAATGCTCTGTTCCATCTTATTGTTGTAATTCTTTCTAATTTACAATATTGAAACTCAAATAATCAGCTTGTTTCCAATTAAATCGGTGCGTCAAATAATAGGGGAATATAGAACTTACCCTTGGAAATAGGATTACAGAGGAATCCTTAAAGTCTGATTTGTTAATTAACGAAAGCAAAATGGAAGCGCATCTGGAGCTTGGGTATTTCGTGTGCAAAACTTTATCTCAAAGTTCTCAGCAAGTAACTCGGTAATTACTTTATTGTCTGCAAAACAAAGAGACAAAAGCATAATACTGTTTAAAAGGAATCTTCCTTATTGAATGAAGTGAGTTCAAGGAATGCAGTAATGATGTACGATCATTGTTATTGTCCTTTCATAAAGCTTAAAATATGCCAACTTATATCGTAATTGATAGGGTTTTTATATCTGGGACGTTTTGGAATTCAAAGAAATAATTTTTGGAAAAAGCTTTACTGCTTCATTAACGAGGTATTAGTATTTCAACTTGCTATTCATTTTAAAGCTTGGGCAATTTTGGTTTTTCTGACAATTTAAATATCTCTGTGACTTTGACAACTAATCAATCGGTTGCCTAATGGAATGAAGAGAAACAAAATTTGTTTCTTCTTAATTATATATACTCATTAAAATTTATAACATACATTCCCGCCAGAAATCACGAAACAATATATTTTTTCTAGAGACGATTTCGTAGTTAGATAATATCATATTCTTCAAATTATTATAAAGTTACTTAGCTGGAAACCACATCATCATGTAAAATGTACAAAATCCGTACAAGGACGAACGATAAATAAAAAAAGAAACAATATTATATTTTAAAAATGAGCCAGTCGTAAACAAATAATGGTGATCAAACTGATGCAATGGGACGGACTCTCATACATTAAATTGTAAATCTATTACAAGACAAAGTTCAAAGATTTGTTTCGCTTTATAATAATGTTACAGCATCCGGGCTGTAGAATAATATAGATCATGATACATTTGACAACATACTACCCCACAAACAGTCAGTTCCTGTTTGCAGGCGAGTGGATTCGCTTTGCACTAAGGTAAACTACATACTGTTTACACCGTGTGGTAGATGTGGCAGATTGAAACATATCCTGACCCACATTAGAGCTCAGTCCCGCGGCGGGTGCAAAGTTTAAAAACTGTTTAGCATGTAAACAAAGAGAAAAGAACTAAAGCACGTCTACCACGACTACTTGCTGGGCGATTTTATTAGACTACCTTGGCAGTAGTTTTGTCTAGAAATGTGCAGAGGTGCGAGTGAAACATTAATTCACATTATTAGTAATCAAAATAATTTCAAATACTGATATACATTTTCTCCCCTCCATATCTCTATACGTTTGATTAAATTCATCATATAGGGTTACGCTAATCGTTTCTTTATGTTCACAGGTTGGGACCAAGTTTGGAATACTCTCACATTACTACAACCTCCATGTAATCGTCCCTACAGCATTCATCCTGGGCAGCGGAGAATATCATATTGGGGAGGGCAGCACTATCAGCCTCGTCTGTATCATAGAGAATGTAAGTTAATGACAAAAATTAAACTGTAGTACACCACTAATTAATTGCCATTTCTGGATTTCAATTTAGAAAAGTTGACTATCTTGACAGTAAAGTAAATGTACATGGATTTTATATTTATAATTCGTTTTTGGTACTTTGATTGAATGTTTTTTATGCATGAGGAGTTTTTAGGTAACTAATGGATAATTTTATATTTCTCCAATATGAAAATATATAAGAGGTTTTTTTAACTGAGCCCGAATCTCTTCTCTCAAAACAGTAGTTGAGACATTCTTGGTTTTTGGTACCTCGAAGTGTAAATGTGTAACTACGACTCTAAAAATGAATACTCCACGCTTACATCTCCCAAAAGGTACCATGAGACAATCTTCAATCGCAGGAAGAAATGCAGGGTTTGAGACTCATATACGATCACCGTAAGATGCTCTGAAACCCTTACGGGGGAAGGGAACAGGCAGACCTAACTTTAGGACTTTATGCCTGAGCTACATGGGATATTTGTAAAATCCATATTTTATTTCGGAAAATTAACGTAGGTGGCAATTATCATTATCTCGTATATTCGACGAATCTCCTCCACAAAGCCCACTACGGTGGCAGAACCAGCCGTAGAGGTAAGGAGTTTAGGGGCTTTTTCTCACTCGTAGAAGTTACAAAGATATTTCCTAAGGTATCCCGGAAGAAATCCAATTCTTTTATAGCCACGATTCACCCACCAGTCAAATGACGAATAAGACTAGGGGCCCAACGTTTTTGATATTGCTTTCAAAACTCTATTCCAGTGAATCTCGTTTTTATTATAAAATGATGTTCTAAAAAAAGTTTTCTTCTTTAACTTTGACGCCCACAAGCTAATGAGGCCGGCTATGAGGACTCTTACTATGTCAATGAAAGTCGCTTCAAAACAGTTCGACTCACACAACACTAAGCGAAGCCTTGTGATCGACATGTATTAAAATCTATACAGACTTATACATACTATCTTACTCTACTTCTATGACATATCCTCCACCCATATATCATCTCTGTGTGACTATGTTGTACATTTTACAGAGCCCAACTCCACCACAGTATGTGTTCTGGTATCACAACGACAAGATGGTCAACTACGACTCAGTCAGAGGCGGAGTCACTGTAGACACAGAGCCAGGACCCAAGACACACAGCAGACTCATAGTCAACAAGGCCACCCCAGCGGACACTGGCAACTACACCTGCAGAGCTCCAAACACAGACCCTGACACCATCTACGTGTTCGTCAGTAAAGGTATTGTTTATAATTTGTTACACATTCAAATCCTAGGATGGTAGGTTCCAGCTAGGAAGCATGCAAACATTAAGTAATATGAGCACGACCGTGACAGTTTGTGCCATTGTCACATAGAAAATATCACTTGGTGATTGGTGGGATTCTAACTCGATACTACAGCGACTGCAATCCCGCGTTCTACTATTGGACAAAATCTTCTCTCAATAATATTCGTTGTGAAAAATTAATTTCTTAGGCTCTCAGAAGACGAATTTGATTTATATTCGTAAAGGAATTGAATACATTCATTAAGATGATTACACCTAAAACCAAATCTAAGCTAAAAGATATTTCAATTTCCATGTGTTACATATAAATTAAAATAATAAAATATTGTATTTAAAAGTTAAAAATAAATTGCTTTATTTACAAAGGTTAAGTGATACCAAATACCTAATTGAGTTTTATTTGGTTTTGTAATTCATTTTAATTTTAAATATCTCACTGTAAAAAAATATATTTTTTAAATATTAAACTTGAATTAAAAAATAATGTGGCCGGTGAATTGTCTCTGTCATTCATTTAAAGTATATTTGATAATTTCTGCAGTTTGTATATAAATTAGATAATGTATTAAACACTGTTGAAATTTAAAATATAAATATACAATATTTATGTAAAATTATGCTAAAATAATTTGTTTTCAGGAAAGGTTTTAAAAATATTTAATTAAGTTAATTTTCAATATATTATTACAACAATTTTAAAACTTAATTTATCCCGATCTTAAGGAATTTGTAAGATTAAATGCCTCATTATGGTATCGTACAGTTATAAAAAAACAACATATCTAAATAAAGCTTAATTAAAGTTTATTCGCAGTAAGACCTTCATATTAAAATAATAAATTATATTAATAAAAATATGCTCTGTTAAATTTCATTATTGTTGTTAACGTTATAGAATCTGTATCTGTGATTACATAAGTCTTGTTTAAGTTTATGTTGAATGATTTTGACATTGTATTTCTTACAGAAGGTGAGAACACTGCTGCAATTTCGCGGCCTGACAGTGCAAGTAACTTTAGACCACTGCGAAGATCGTCCCTCGCTTTCTTTTCAATCTTCTTCATTTTGTTTACCAATTTGTATAACTGAATATAAACACTTTTCTACGGACCCACTTTAAATAAAGTATTTTATTAGAATTGTCTATTTTTTACCATATATCAATGATATAACTCGTAGAAAGTTAATAATATCAGTGTGTTTATCTAAAAAACAAGTACAACTGATTATAAATATTAGACTGCTTGTCGTATTTTAATGACCTTAAAACACATAAGTTAATTCAACACATGTATTTATAAATAGTAGTACCATAAAATATAATGTCCTACATATTATATGCTTTACCAATAGCACAACAAATTTCAAATAAGTAATGAATGTATTAACATATCAGGTAAAATTAAAATACTATCCAACCGGATGAATACTTTCATTACTGTGGGTGAAGTTTTAACCTACACAAATGTAGTTATGTTTTACCTTCCAACCTGAGGTAAAGTAAAAACTAAATTTGAAAATGTTCTTCTTATTTCCTTAACAAAACATAAATAATAAAGTAACTAATGGTTTGTTACAGGATTCATTTTGACATTTTTACATTCCAGGTAAATTGTAAAGTGTCCATAAAATTCTAAACGAATTATAATAATTCCTAAACCAATGTTGTAGATATTGGCTATAACTTCACCTTGGCTATTGCAAATACCGGATTGCAAACAATGTTATGTTTTTATGTTATAAAAGACGAAAAACATACTATCATACTCTATCAATAACAAAACGACTTTGTTGTCATCGATTTCACCAGAATATGAACATCATTTTGCGAAACGTTTCTTATATTCCGGAATTCTCGTTATATAAACTAGGGTTAAAGAAATCTACGGCACCTTATTGAAATCCTAAAACAATTAGAATATATTCAAATGTAATAATTTTCAATTCCAATACTCAAAATAGCTTAATATTGAGAATACGGAAACATTATAAAATACCCTGCTTTTGGAAACCTCCCAAGGTCTATTTAAGGCAAATGTAGGCCTAATATTATGATTGTATTTACTATATTAGCCGCACATCTAGTTATACCTTTCATTCCAGATTTTTTATTTATTTTGTACACGAATATACTATAATACTGCAGCCAATTATGTGCTGGTACATTAAGAAAAAAGGCGGTAAAAAAAACAAAAAAAAACGTAATTGGTTACAAGGAAAACCGGAATTTTCTCGTTTTTAATTTAATTTACCATAATTGCGATATGTAGCCCAAAGTGCTAATTTGTCATATTTAAATTACACTAACAGACCTGAGTTGGCGAATGGTTTACATTCATAAAATAGCATGATTTTATTTTCAAGAATGTCCGATAAAAAGGAAATAAATGATAAATATAGATTTCATTATCTCGGTTTTTTCAAACACAAAAATAAACAGTGTTTGTAGATCAATACCTCCGTTTAAACCCGTTTAAAGTATTGAATCTCATAGTTAAGAAGAAACAAGATAATCTGTAAGCCACAGGTTTAATAGGTGATTAAATAGTTTTTAATTTGTTACTCAAACTAATAGAAAAACAATTGGGGTTGTATAAGGAATAGGTAAATTCGTAATTAATTGAAAAGAATGGAAATAGATTTCCGTCGAAATTTGGTTTTTAATACAATTAATTATTTTGTCATCATGTATTAATATACCACACCCAAAATTGTTTGGTTTTTGGTATTTTTTCTCCGTTGAAAAGGATTATTCAACCTTTAGAGTTACATTACTTGGAGAATTTGTATTTTTTTTTTGAGAAAATACTTGTTTGAATACACAACACGCTTACTCTATTTCTTTTTTTTATTTCAATATGTTTAACAGTACTGTTTTATACCTAGTTGCTTATAAATAACAATATGTTAAGTTAACAACTCTAAGAGTAAAGTATAAAACATACATTCCATTTATTAAACAAAGATTATATAGAAATAAGTTAAGATCCCAAAAATTCATAAAACAAACTACGAGTAAAGTGTAACACTTACCACATTGTGCCAAGCAGAAGTAGTTAAGAGGGCATAAGTGTAATTAGTTATTGTTAATTTTAACCTGCAGACCTTCGTGTTCTGAGATTGCCGGGCATATTTGGCTTTATACACGGTCGTGAACTTATGTGGCCCTGGTACATTTTGATAATAACTGTAATCTCAGAGAAACCTTTTATAACAAGAACAGTACTGCACAAAGACACGCTGCGCATAAATGTTTTGAGTAATTTTCCTTTAATAATTCTGTTACTCATAAAACTGTGGTAGTTAAGTATCCATCACAACAACAACAAAGAAAAAAAAACTTAAGAATTTTCCAAAATAGGAAGAAGTCTTAATATGAATCTTTATTCTTCTTATTCCGTGTATCTACAATTGAAACGTGTAGTTCATTCAAGGGACAAATGATTCACTAAGATATACGGGGTATTTTGACCTTGTACATAAAATCATTCGTTTGGTCTAAAATGCAAATCATCTGTTTTCCAAAATGATTTGTTTATCGTAGTTTTTTGGTATTAGAAAAAAATCTGTTGGTAAGGTAGAGTAAACTGCGGAATTTATAAATACTGAGAGTAACGTTTTGTGTAACATCAAAAGGTGAATATATACAGTATAGCCAAAATATTCCTAAAAGTATCTTTCAAATATAAAAATAAATTAAATGTGTAACTTTAACTATTGACTTGTGGATACTGTGGTGGTAGACATTTCATCTTCATAGATCAGGTCCCTATATCAATCCAGTACGAAAATGTGTTGGTTTTTTTACTCACGGGCTTTGCATTTAGCATTTTTAGCTGCTTCAAAAATGCCCAATTTGGGGTTCTTATAGGGCAATGTGATACCAACTAAAAAGTACAGATTGATGTTTTATGCAGGTGATAATGGATATTTAGGTATATTTTAAAGTGAGGCTGAAATACTGCCAATGCCTAATGGGTTGGGATAAAGGCCTTTAGTTTCCACTGATATTTATTTACTGCTAGTATTCAAAAAATACCAGGTGTAAATTAGTAGGGTTTTACGTTTCAGCTTTTGAGCTGCTTCCGACATAACCCGTTTCGGGGTTCGAGACAAAATAGTGATGCCATTAAAAAGATGTAGGCCTACTCTACATTAATTCCATATAAAGGTGTGCAGAGTTTGGCTTTCCTAGCGTAACTCATAAAAAATAATATTAGGTGTCAATATGTTGCCCAACTGCAGATTTATTACTGTGAAACCTTTAGGTTTTCGTATATGATAAAAAAATATACTTTTTACATATCAGGAAAAAAGAATAGTGTCAGGAATAGTGATTTACAATATGCTCATCGTGGATTATGCCGTAAGTTAAACAAATTTTCCTTTATATTTGTATTTTTAATTTCATATAAAGGTATTAATCTAGGTACCTTTGTTGCATTAATTTGTAAGAATTTAAATTATTTCTCAAACAAGTTGTGCAAAATGGTCTCGTATACTTAAAACTAGATAAAATACAAAGATATACAGGTAGTTTCGTATTAAAAAAATAAGGATGCCTTAAGAAAAATTAAGTTCAGGTTTTGGGTACAAAAACTTTAAAGGCAATGTTCAACTTAAAAACAACCCATCTCTATGTCATTTTTTATTTTTAATATCACGGTTGGACAAAATCAAGCATTCAAATTAAGGAAAATATGAGAATAAATATATCAGAATAAATAGAGACCGTGATAGTTGACATTCGCTAAGCTTGAGAATAAATCAATATGGTAATGTCATGTTTACCATACTAAGAGGAACGTGTCTCGAGGGTATGATATGAAGCTGATTGGTCTGAATTTACTACTACACTAATATCAATTTAAGGAAATACCATATAAAATTTGTCACCTATGTGTATTGTAATTTACATGATAATAATTAAAAAAAACTTCATTAAACACATACGCCGAGGTATATACTTTGAGGTACAGTGTAGAAGGATGAGATGGGCAGGATATATCATAAGAAAAGAAGAAAACTGTTTACCATTGAAAGTACTGGAGAACAAACCAGAAGGAAGAAGACCCGTTGGTGGACCAAAACTGAGATGGTAGGACCAAGTAGAAACGGTCCTAAAAAACTGAGAAGAAAGGAGGAGAACGCAAGATGTAGAGATATATGGAGGTGTGTTGGGGAGGCTAAGAACCATTAAGGGTACCAGTCGCCACAGCAGTAAGTAAGTATATAAATAAATATAAGAGATTTATGTTTTTCTCTTTCCAGCCTTATAGGATTGGTGAGCTGATAAACTGGTTAGTTACTGGTAAGCTATTGCCATTACACATCAAATATGCAATGATAGAATTTCACGAAACAGTTATTTGATCCAAATTTTGCGCATACATTTGAAATATTCCGATAGGGATACGATAGGGATATTATTTTGTCGACACGAATTTAATCCAGTATGTGCTGTCCTATTTCAGTAAAACTATGCGGAGTTGGATATATTATGGCTTTAGTTTTTTGTTTGTTACTTTTCCAAAATATTGTTAGAAAATTGTTGAAGATTTTCAAATTGTTTGACATGAAATTATATAGGCCATTGACAAAAAAAAAAAAGAATGCCCAGACGCCGGTACAAGTAGACATCAACCCACCATTATTGTTTGCCACAAGTAGTCCCTAATTACTCAATAGTCTTCTGGTTGTGCGTCGATGTTACTTATCGGTAATTCATTTATTGTTTATTATTTTTCAGTCTTTTTTGGGTATAATTTCATCAAGACAAATGTTTTTAATATAACTATATGTACTATATGAAAAATCCACAATTATAAATATCTTATATACATTCCTATTACAAAAGGTTATTAAGTTATTAATGTAGAGTTCAGAAGAAATATATATTTCACCTATTAAAACGTACAATAAAAAGGTTCAGTAATATTAGTATACAGTAATAATATTAAACTAAAAAATCAATAATAAACATTGAACTTACTTTGTGCAAAGGAATAAATGTAAGAAAGCCAATAAAATAATATTATTCGATTTCCTATTGTTTAAACTTAAGAACAGCAGCAAGAAGTCGTGAAGCTAGTTAGTTTACGAAATGCGGATACAGCCCTGTTTCCGGAAAAAGACAAAT